TGTTAGTCCTGGATACTCCTGCTGAGTTGGCAGCAAATGGCTACGGGCATCATGGGAAGAATCCAGGCCTTGGCTGTGGGACCGCAGATCCTGGGCCTCACTCTGCCCCCACATGCTGCGTGACCCAGATCCCACTGCTCTGCCTCTCTGGGCTTCAGTTTCCTCACGTGAGGAATGGGTTGGCACTGGGTTGCTGGGAGTTGAGGGATGAGGCTTGTTTGGTAGGATTCCTATCTTCCTGCTCCCTTGGACTTCACTCAGGACACACATGACGTTCTGTGTGCTTGCTGTGTGTATGCAGGGGTAATGGGGTGGGGAGGGCTGGTCCCAGGCTCTCAGAACTGACCTCCTGGCCCATTCTTCCCTTGCAGTGCCCACCCTGTGTCCATGGTGCCCAGGAAAGCAATGTGAGTGAATAGAGGGTGTGCAGGGTGGGGTGGGCGGGGGCGGGGAGTGGGCTAGTTGGCTTCCTGGTTAAGGACAAGTGGGCCTTTGTGTTCTTATCACACTCCCTCCCTGCACATCCCCCAGAGCTGGGCTTGACTCCCACCCTATCCCCACCACGGGCTGCATGGAAGGAAGCCTCATGCCTTGTGATCCGGGCAATGTATTGCGATCCAGGGTGGAATGGGGACAGGGTGGTGGCTGGTGGGACCAGAACCTTGGTTGCTGATCCCAGCTTTTCACTACCCACAAGGACTCGGGGCTGCTCTGTTTGAAAGCTTCCCATATCACCTTGGAGGCCTTGAGAAGGGGAAGGCTGACTCAGGGTAACACAGCCCAGCACTGGCCCCCAACCCATGTTGGCTCAGGACTTCCCCTCCTATGCCTCTCTGGCTAGCTGGCTCCGGTCTGGCCTCCCTTTGGGGGTCCAGAAGGACAAGGGAGAGGGCTCGGTGCGAGCACAGCTAGTACCCAAATGTGCCTCTTCCGCGGGCAGCGGAAGTCACTACTTTCCCATAGCCTGACTTTCTGAACTGACATGCCATGTTAGTTCATAAAGGGCACAACCCCGGGTGCCCTCAGCTCCAAGCCCCCTGACCTTGGGGGACACAGGAAGTACCCCCTCTGCTGCCTGGCCCTCTTTCCATCTAGCCCCCCACCAAATCTGGTAAAGCTGATGGTCCCCAGTTATGCAGGAGTTACCATGGCAACTGAGCAGCCCTGTAATCCTAACAACCAGCGGGTGGAGCTAGCTAAAGCCAGGCAGTTTAGAGAAGATAGGTTAGACCCCTCTGCAAGTCTGACAGCCTCAGGATATGAAGTCAGCATGCTGGGTGGCCCTGGAGGCAGAGCTGTTGGTCCGCTGGGGGTCTTGGATTCAGGCTGTTGGTCTTGCCACCATGCTGTGTGGCCCTGGCTTAATTGCTTGCCTTCTCTGTGCCCTTGTTTTTTTCTCCATCTCTGAGATATAATGCTCTCTTTGCCTCCCAGGTCACAATTGGTCCCTCTGGACCCAAGGTGAGTCCAAGATGGAGAACAGGACAGTCTTTCCCTCTTTGGCAGTCCCAGCCTGTCCCACAGCATGTAGCCCCATGGCTGTGTGTTTCTATCAGGGCTACCCAGCTCTGTATGTGTGGGGGGTGACTAGGGGTGTGTGTTGGAGACAGTCGGGGGTTGTGTGTGTCGAAGGGTGTTAAGAGCGCCCCTTTTCTGAGTCCTACTGTGCATCGGGCTTTGGGCCTCCTGTTGCACATCTATCACCTTCCCGCCCCTCAAGCATCCTGCAGGCCGGATACTCTCATTTTATTTCAGAAAAACCCGAGAGCCAGCTGTGCCCACCGTGTGGGACGGGGGGTGTCGGAGTGATTGTGTGGGGGTCTGGCTGTGTGCCTCCTGGGACACATGTTCACATGTGTGTGGCCCCCTGGGGTGGGGGGCATGAGCCCTTGTCCCGGTGGGCCCGACAGGACCACCGAGCCTGTGAGTGACGGGGCGGGCGGCACGCGTGTAAATGTGGGACTGTGTGCTTGTGCGTGCCCGAGAGTACGTAACACAGCTCCTGGGCCTGCCTTCATGTCCCATCTCTTCCTCGCCACACCCCCCTGAGGTCCCATTTTATTGATGAAGACACTAAGTCTCAGAGAGGTGACATGACTTGCCCTAAGTGGTGAGGCAGGATTTGAACTAAGGCAGCCTAACACTCACCAACATGGGTTCTGTCGTCCCACATGTGTGTATCCGTGCACACGTGTCCATGTGCCCCTGGGTGAGCTGCGTGTGAGCTCGCGTGCTTTGATAGGGGTGTGGGGAAAGTACCGTCTTTGTGAGACTACAGATTTGCCAAATATAGCCTCTTGGGGTGGGAGGGCCATATGGATGAATGCATATGGAATCCATATGCTGTGTGCATGGTTGGGGGTTGGGGCAGGCTGTGCTCATTTACACACCCGTGCGTAGGGGATAGGTAAAGAAGACAGACTGGGGAGACCTTCCTCAGGTCTCCCATGTGCTCCCCCTGGTCCCAGCCCCCGTTTTGATCTCGTCCACAGGGAGGGAAAGGTGAGCGAGGCCTGCCTGGCCCATCAGGCCCCAAGGGAGAGAAGGGAGCCCGGGTAAGTGCCCCAGCCGGGCCCACTGCAGGGCCCTGCCAAGCTGTGCCCCCCGGGGGGGGGGGGGCGGGCTGACATGTGAACCATCCCATCCGCTCAGCCAAACCCCTGCAGCCTGGCCCACATGGGGGATGATGGGTAGGGTCTTCCTAGGAGTTAGTAAATGGCAGCCTCTATTTTTTAGGGGTACCTAGAAGATGACCAGTGGGACTGTGGGACTCTTGAGCCTATCCTTCTCAAAACAGGGTCCCACCCTGATCCCTCGTTCCCTCCCCTTAGGGCAGTGACTGTGTCCGAATCTCCCCGGATGCCCCACTTCAGGTAAGACCTGGAGGCAAGGCCTACTTCCAGGCCAATATGGGGTCAGCCCCTGGGGAAGGGGCTGTGCCCTTGGCAGCCCATGAGGTGACCCTGGGACCATCTCAACACCTTCTCTCCCTGCTCAGTGTGCAGAAGGCCTGAAGGGAGAGAAGGGGGAGTCAGGAGCTTTGGTGAGTGTGGGACCAGGGTTAGGGCAGGGCAGTGGGGTCCTGGCCCAGCCTCTCCCTCCTTTCCTCACCCCTTCTGTTGTGTCCCCCCACCCTTATCTCAGGGACCCTCAGGACTTCCGGGCTCTACAGGCCAGAAGGTAATGGGCCTGGATTTGGAGGGGCAGGTGCCAGGGAGGTCTCTGGGCTCTTCAGACTTGAGGAAGTAGATGTCTAAAATCTTCTTGGAGGATGGAGGGCCCCGTCCCCACGGAAGACCCTCCGTCCCTCCCAGTCACCCTGCCCGGTCCAGATTCCCACCAGACCCAGAGGGAAATGCCACCGACTCCCTGAGAGAGGCCTGGCAGGCTCGGAGGTTCCTTCTGTTGTCCACCTTCCTGGAGTGACGGAAGCCTTTCAGTCTCAGGGGAGGCAGAAACTGGGGGTCTAGAAAGCAGTTGTCTGACCTCCCGATAGAGCTGCTTTGGTTCTTCCAGCCCCTTCTTTCAACCCCAGTCCCTTTACCTTTTCCTTCCCCAGGGCCAGAAAGGCGAGAAGGGGGACGGAGGCGTCAAGGGCTCGCCGGGAAGGCCAGGCCGCGATGTACGGTGCTTGGGACCCTTCCTCACCACAACCCCGTGGTCCTCGGTGCAATGCTGGAATTAACCAGCAGAGTCCAACCTGCTAGCTTCGCTCAGATGGGAGGACAGAAACCCAGGGAGGGGGAGGCTGGGCCCCAGGAAGCAGAGCAAGGAGGGGACAGAAAAGAATCTGAATCCAGGCCCCCTGGCTCCCAGCCTAAGAGCCCCTGGCCTCTAATGCCCTGATGGTGACACCTGATGACCTCGGGGCACAGGGGTGGAGTCTGGCTTTGGGGAGGGGCACTGAGGGTGGGCAGTTTGCTGCTGCCCCAGGGAGGTGCCAGGCCTCAGGCTTTTCTTTTACCTTCCACGACCCCACAGGGCCGGCCAGGGGAGATCTGCGTCATGGGGCCCAAAGGGCAGAAGGTGAGTTGTGGGTGTCTGTGGGATGGAGGGTGGGCGGTAGGGCTGAGGCGGCAGCTCTCTCACACCCACCTTATGTCTGTGCCAGGGAGACCCTGGCTTTGTTGGGCCTGAGGGGCTGGCAGGAGAGCCTGGGCGCCCTGGCCTCCCTGGGCCCCCTGGGATAGGACTTCCTGGGACCCCGGTGAGTACTCCTGGCCCCTCCTGTTGTTCTTTCCTCAGAGACCCTTCTCCTGCCTGCCAGGGCTGGGGAGATAAGGCTCGGTCCTGGGGGTCCTGGTTGGGGGGAAGGGGCTCCGGTAGGTCTCACCGTGATGTGGGGCCCCTGGGAAGCCTCTACCTGATGCTGTTCCCACCCTCAGGGGGACCCAGGCGGCCCACCAGGTCCTAAGGGAGACAAGGTAAGCACAGGCAGGAGTGTGGGCCCTTGGGGGGGCGGATTCCCTGCATGATGGACGGAGAGAGAAGGGGACCCAGGGCAGCAGGTATGCATGGGGGGAAGGAGCCAGGCATTCAGCTGAGGAGGCTGGCTCAGCTCAGCCAGGCCCCTCCCTGGGGAGTGTCCCCATCCCAGTGCTTGCCAACATGGGAGCCCTGGCTTGGGTTCCAGGCATGGGGACAGGTAAGCCTAAGTCTAGTCATGACCAGAAAGGCCACACCTGGAGGGCCCAAGCTCATTTTAGGGTCTTATGCCTTGATGAGCAGAAAGCCCTGGAAATGTCTGACTGTCTTGTCTGCTATGGTTCCTCTGGGGTCACCCGGATTCCTCTCGACCCGCTGCACTGGGAAGGGGTACACAGAGGCCTCATATTCGTCCCCTTTTGCAAGCAGAAGGGCTTGGGTTAGATGTGGAGAAGGCCGGACAGCAGGCGGGGGGTGCTTGCTGACCAAGCCGGCCAGGAGGAGATGGGAGATTTGGCTGAGATCGTGCTGCCAATCCAGAGAAGGGACTGATGGGGATGGGGTGAATGGTCTGAGGCTGTGGCCAAGAGCCTCCCCCTTAACCCTTCTTCTGACCACAGGGCAGCTCGGGGGTACCAGGAAAGGAAGGTCCTGGTGGGAAACCTGTAAGTAAGCCCAGTCTGGAGGGGGAGGGGGGCTGCCGCCCACCATGCCCAGAGCTGCTCTACCAAGGCCTCCAGGGAGGGGGTGGCTAGGTCCTGGGGCCCTCCCTTGGCATACCAGTCCCTCTGGCTGGCACTAACCACTAACGTTCACTGCTTCTTCTCCAACAGGGGAAACCAGGGGTGCCGGGGCTGAAGGGAGAGAAGGTGAGATCCAGGCTGGGTTGCACCAGGATGGGGTGGGAGTGGGAGCCCTTCTCTGAAGGTGACACTGAGCATCAGCGGTGCTGGACCTTCTCTAGGAGACCCCTTGTTGGTCCACTCATGGTCTCTCCCTTCTGCTGTAGGGTGACCCCTGTGAAGTGTGCCCAACGCTGCCTGAAGGCTTCCAGAACTTCGTGGGGCTCCCTGGAAAGCCAGGACCCAAGGGGGAGCCAGGTGATCCTGCACCAGCCAAGGTGAGTGCCCAGGGTGGCCACTGAGGGGCTCCACAAAAGACCTGGGAATGTGATCCTGGAAAGGAGTTGGGTACTTGACAGAAGGACTGGCTACTTCTCTCGGCCATAGAGAGATTGTGGGCCGAGGGTCCTGGCTCTAGATGGGACGGGGGCTGAACCATAGAGTTTAGGGCTGGGCTAGAAGGTCACCCAGGTCTCCATGGCTACCTCCTAGGGTTCTTGAGGAGGCTCCAAGATGCCTTTTGGGCAAGCTGGGGTGGAGGCAGCCCTTATAGTGAGTGAGGCTGTGCCTTCCTCCTGGGATTGGGTGTTGGTTGGGGGTGGAGGAAAGGAGTGGGCAGGGCTGGGTTAGGATCCTGGCTCGACTCCCCATCCCACTCCACTCCCTCACCCACACTTTCTTTCAGGAGGGCCTGGGAGCTGTTGGATGGAAAGGTGATCGGGTAGGTACAGGAACTTTCTAGTAGGGTAGCTTAACCTGGCCTGATTTCCCCCATCTATTACATGGGTTGATGAGCCCTGGCTCTGGGTGCTGACCTTGAACCCCATAGGACCCCTGGGTATTTGAAGGGTTTGTGGTGTGTAACATTGCTGTCCTCACATATGGTTAGGAAGTTTGGGGTGCCCCAACAGGCCCAGTCTCAGCCCATAAACCTTTTCTCCCTGTAGGGAGACCCTGGCATCCAAGGCCCCAAAGGAGAGAAGGTAAGGGAACACTGGTCCCCTTGCTGCCCGCCCCTCCCCCCCAACTGCTGGGAGCTTTCCAATTCTTTCTCTTCCTTCTCCAGGGGGACTCCTGCTTGTCCTGCAGCTTAGCTGTAGGGGCCCAGCATCTTGGGCCGTCCACAGGGACCAAAGGAGATGTGGGCCCCCCTGGCTTCGGTTTGCCTGGCCTCCCGGTGAGTGACTAGCCCGGCTCAGTCCAGCCCATCTTTGCCACCCCGGTGGCCTCCCTGGCTCCTCTGGCTCGGAGTCTCAAGGCAGAGACCAGGAAGGAGGCCCCGAAGCAGGTGTCCCAGACCTGCAGCCTCCTTTCCCCCTCCATCCCTACACTGCCCCAGGCTGCTTGCCCTGGGGGCTCCCTCTGTATAACAGAAGTAACTGCCTAGCTACCTGCAGTCATGGCATTTGTAATTCCAAGCTGGCTTCTCTTTCTGGGTGGAAGCTGGGACCATGGAGTCTTGGGGGGGGTGGGCGGGGAGCGGAGGAGTCTCTAATTGTGACTTGTTGTCTTTTAGGGGAAAGTTGGGGCTCCAGGGCCAGCAGGGCTGAAAGGAGAGAAGGTGAGATCTGAGTTAGCTGTCAGGGACACCAGGGCTTTCTGGGCAGGGAGGCAGGAAATAGGGATGAGACAGACGAGAGATCAAATCCACAGTGAAAAAAAATTCATCGGTGCTTTGCAGATGGGAGTCAACGGACTTACTTGTGAGGGTCCTCGTGCTCTCCAAGAGAATTCCTTGGTGTTGTACTTTTATTTTATTGATCATCTAAGACAATTAGGCACATGTAAGATGACCTTTTAATAAAATAACCATATTTTTTTTAAAGATTTTATTTATTTATTTGAGAGAGAGAATGAGAGAGAGCACATGAGAGGGGGGAGGGTCAGAGGGAGAAGCAGCCCCCCCGCCGAGCAGGGAGCCCGATGCGGGACTCGATCCCGGGACTCCAGGATCATGACCTGAGCCGAAGGCAGTCGCTTAACTGACTGAGCCACCCAGGCGCCCCAAAAATAACCATACTTAACTCTCCTTGACCACTTACCATGTGCCGGGCACTGTTTCAAGTGCTCGGGCATGTATTAACTTGTTTCACCCTCCTAAAAGCTGATGGGGGAGCTACTCCATTATTCTCGATTTACGGATGAAGAATTGGAGGCAGGGAGGGCCAAGTCAGTTCCCCAAGGTCACATGGCCATTTGGGTATGGGACCGGGATCTGAGCCTAGGAATCTGGCTCCAGAGGCTGTAATGTTTGTCACTCGGCCGGGTCACTCGATTTCGGTGCCCATGTTCCCATTTGTATTTATGACTGCGGCTGAGACAAATGATGGCACTTCTCACACGTGGGCTTCTGTGCGTGGCCGAGTGTTCAGGGGTGACAAACACCGCCGCAATGTATGTCCAGACCCCGCTCTGTCAAGCACACCACCCCTGGCATTTCTCTGACGAAGCTTTTGTACCCCCACCTCCGAGTGCCGGGACGCCCTGTCTCAGTACATGGCATGTCCCCAGCTCCTCCGGCCCCAAACCTGCAGCCTCCCAGATCCCCGCCTGCCCCACACCCTCGCCTCCATCTGACCTTCCACCAACGGCATCTCTGTGGTGCCCCACTACCCCCCCCCTCCACGAGCCACCACAGCCCGTCCGTGGCCCGTTTGTCGGCCGGCAGCTAACACGACGTGCCCTTGTAAAAAGAACTCGGGTTTCATTATTTCCCTGCTTAAAATCCTTCACCACTGACTCCGTAGCAACATCCTGCTACGCCTGATGAGACCCCGGACGACCAGCCCCTGCCTGCCTGTCTGCTGGCTCTCCTCTCCCCGGTTCTCGGGCTTTAGATGTGTGGCCTCCTTCCACTCGGGACTGTGTCAAGGCCACTCCCACCTCTTAGATTCTGAACTTGTGGCGCCCACCTTCTAGCACGTTCTTCTCTACTCTCCCCCCACTGCTTTTGCTGGCTGGCCTGATTCTCGCCTTTCTGATAATAATCGTGCTCAACAATTCTCTGACCCCCTGTCCAAAGCGGCCTCCCCCGTCTCATCTCCCTGCCTGTTCCCTTTGTGGCACTCATCCCGGTTTACACCTGCTATGACTTCATAAAGTTCTGGTTGTCCCCACAAGTGTGTAAACTCCACAAGGTGTTTATGTGCTGCTCACTGCATCCGACCAGCACCTTGGCCCTGCACGCTGTGCAGACGTCCACCGAATAGCTGTCGGATGAATGAATGAATGATCTTTGTGTGCTGGGTGAAGGCTGAGTGTGGGGCTGGGATTCTGTGACGTGAGGCCGGGGGCAGGAACCTGCCACAGACCCTCCTGGGAACCTTGGGGGAAATCCCCTTCCCTCTCTGGGCCTCAGTTTCCCTAGGCAGGACATGAGAGGGGTGGTCAGTCTAGAAGTCCTCACAGGTGGCTACTTTTGTGGTTTGTGGTTTGGGACTGACCCAGCACCTGTCATGCTGCCTCATTTTGACCCTATGTTCTCTGCTTTGCTCCAGGGGAATTTTGGGGAGGCAGGGCCAGCCGGCCAGCAGGTGAGTGTGCTCTGGGGAGGAAACGTGGGAAGTGCTGCCTGCTGCCGGCGGGGGGGGGGGGGGGGGGGGCAACAGACCCAGACTGTGCCCAGCATAGCCCAGGCAGGCAGGTGCCGGGCCTCACACATGTCTTGCTTTTTTTTTTTTTTTAAATCACACAGGGCCCACGAGGGCCAGTGGGACCCACAGGCATCAAAGGAGAGAAGGTGAGTCTGGGGACGTTCTCCATGCTGCAGCCAGGGTGAACTTCCTCAGCACACATTTGCTCTAATTCCAGCCCGTCGAGGCTCCCCACTGCCTGAGGGTAACATCTTGCTCCTTAGCATGGCGTTCAAGACCTTAATGACATCGCCCCCACCTTCAATTCTTACCTGTCCTCCCACAATCTCTCCTGAGATATCCCTCGCCCAGCATAGGTGCTGTGTCAGGGCCAGCTCGATTCCCCAGACCCCAGATCCCAAGCCTGACCTGGGATCCCCCCCCAACCCCGACCCTGTGTCCTTGCTTGGCAGGGGGAGCCTTGTGAGCCATGCCCAGCCCTGTCCAGGCCTCAGGATGGGGACAGCTACACGGTGACCTTGCCTGGCCCTCCTGGAGAGAAAGGAGAGCCTGGGCCTCCAGGCTTCAGCTTGCCGGGAAAACAGGTGGGTTCCTGCGTTGTTGCAGGCAGGGCTCGGGGTGGGGGGACCCCTGCCTGGGTCGCTTGGCTCCCTGGACAGCGGGGAGTAGGTGGGAGGGTGTGGAAGCATCAGTGCTTCTGTCCCCAGAGGAGCTTGGCCTCAGGGGCCTCAGCCCTTCCTCCGGGCAGGGCGCACAGAGCACCAACTTGGGACCAGACGGGCCTGGCTTCAAACTCCAGTGCTGCCTTTTTACTCACTCTTTGACTCGAGCAAGTTATTTTTCCTCTCCATGTCTCTGTTTCCTCCACGTGGCGTTGTTGGAAAGCCTCGGGGTGCTGTGCGTGAAGCACCCCGCCGGCCGCAATAGGCATCCAGGAAGCGAAGGCTGCCACGGGCCCATTATTGTTACCGCTTCACTGAGAGCGGCGAGCGTGGGCACGGGGCTCGCTCTGTGCCGCGCGCTGCTTCCCACGGCCCGGCGCGTCTAGCCTCACAGGGACGCTGCAGGGTAGAGGCCAGTGCCATTTTTTTTTTTAATGTTTTATTTATTTATTCATGAGAGTCAGATAGACAGAGAGAGAGAGAGAGGCAGAGGCAGAGGGAGAAGCAGGCTCCCCGCCTAGCAGGGAGCCTGATGCGGGACTCGATCCCAGGACTCTGGGATCATGACCTGAGCCGAAGGCAGACGCTTAACCATCTGAGCCACCCAGGCGCGCCCCCAGTGCCATTTTTATCATCCCCGTTGATGCATAAGGAAACCGAGTCACAGAGAGGTTAAGTAACTTGCTCGTCTCTTCTCCGTATCTATACAGTATCGCTTCCCTAGAACGAGAGCAGGGATTGTGGTCTGTTTTGCATACTGCTGTATTCCCTGGGTCTAACACCGTGCCGGACACTTAGGGGTGTCCGCTGCGAGTGAATGGGTGCTAGAAATGCTTCCTCCCCAGGGCAAGGCTGGAGAGCGTGGACCGAAGGGGCAGAAGGTGAGAACCTTGTGGGCATGGGTGGGCACCACCTGTCTGATGAGCTTTCCACCTCGTTTTCCTGATTGCCCTGTGCCCTCTCTCCACTCCCTGTGCAGCCCCCAGCCCCAGCGAAGGGCTCCGAGTGCCTTTAGTTCCCAGGGCTGGGTCTGCCCTCCTTGACCCCTACTCCTTACAGGGTGATGCTGGCAATCCTGGAGATCCTGGAGTGCCAGGCACCACGGGGCAGCCGGGACTGTCGGGAGAGCCTGGGGTTCGGGGCCCCCTGGGCCCGAAAGGAGAAAAGGTCAGTCGGGCAGAGGGCATTTTGTTGCATGGACCAAAAGAAATCAGGCTGAGAGTTAATGAGGTGAAGGACGGCAGAGTCAGGCTGTGAGCCTTACAGGATACCAGAGTCACTGGGTGGGGACGCCTCAGGTCTTCTCCACGGCAGGGAGAAGAGCAAAGGGTGTCAGGGGCTGTCTTGATTTCCCAGACTGAGGTGGGGGCGGTGGAGGGGCAGAGCTCTTAGAGGGGCACAGGGACTCCCTTTCCGAGGCCTCCTCCTGGCCCCGCTGTCAGCCCTGGCTCAGGGCTCCTGGCTGTGCCCATCTCTGACCAGGGTGATGGCTGCGCTGCCTGCCCCAGCCTGCAGGAGGCAGTGATGAACGCGGCGGGACTGCCTGGGAAGCCGGGCCCCAAAGGAGAGCCGGGCCCAGAAGGCGTGGGCCGGCCTGGTAAACCGGTGAGTTCTGGCTGCCTGCCCTCTGGGCTTTCCCTGCCTGAGCTTTGCCTTTTCTTCCACCTACACCCTTTCCCCTGTGGGACCCATGGGCCACTTGTATCTTTTAGGGCCGGCCTGGTCTACCTGGAGTTCAAGGGCCCCCAGGACTGAAGGGCATCCAGGTATGTGTGCGTATGGGGAACCTGGGCTGCAGGTGTGTAATGAGGGTAGGAGTGGGCAGATACATGGGGGCATAGGGCCTGGAGTGGGGAAGATGGGCTACAGAGTAGGGAGAAGGTGGAAGTAAGAAGATTAAGGGGAAGAGGCTGGGGAAGGGGGTTTTAAGGGTGAGCGGGGAATCTCAAGCCAAGGATTGTCCCTCTGCCTCTTCAGGGAGAGCCTGGGCCTCCAGGAAAGGGAGTCCAAGGGCCCCAGGTGAGTTTTTAGCCTTACCTTTGCCTACCTGCTCCCCCAGCCCTCCCAACACTTCCATTAGCCAGCTGCCCACTCCTATCCATCCCCAAAACTACAGAGCTCTGCCTGCCTTCCAATGCTCAAGGGCACAGCTCTGGGGTAAGGAATTGGTCAGCAGCCCTAGCCTGCCATTACTTCTGTAGAGGACCTTGCCTTGGCCCCCAGCCTCTCTCACCCTCACAGTCTTCCTGGGGAGCTCTCTCGAGTTTCGGCTGGTATATACCCCACCCCAGACCAGGTATGCCAGTGGGACAGGTTGGCTTGGGCAGCTGTGGCCCAGTCTGTATTTTCTGACTTGCAGGGGGAACCTGGAGTCCAGGGTTTGCCTGGCATTCAGGTACGTCTGCTTTGGGCCTAGAGGAGGCTGGGGGCGGTGGGTGGGAAGGGGCCGCTTTAGGATAAGGGTTAACTAGCTATGCTTCCATCTGCAGGGACTTCCAGGACCTCGGGGACCACCTGGACCCGTTGGAGAGAAGGGCGTCAAGGTGAGTCTCTGCCTCGTCAGGCACCGGCCCTGTGGTGCTTTGGAGTGCCCTGGCTCAGGGGACAGGGGACAGGGGACCTGTGACATGCCCACCACAGGGCCACCCAAGACCTGGTCTGATGCATCCCACCTGCCTGATTGCCCCTGGTAGCCTCCGTGTCTTCTCTTCCCCAGGGGTCTCCGGGACTGAAAGGAGCTGCTGGGCCTATGGGGCCCCCTGGTGCCAGTGTCTCTGGGCCTCCGGTAAGGGTCCTCTCTGCGCTCTGTGCTGGAGGCTTGCTGGGGCCAAGGCTCTTACTGCTGGGAAGAGGGCACAGGGCTGACCCCGCTGGGGCCTGGCAGAATGGGGGATGGGAGGAGAGAAGCCCAGCCTCCGAGAAAGAAGACCACACTGTCTGGACAGGGGCACCTGACTAATGACGTTACTGATCACCACCATTTTGGGAGCAGTGACTGCTGAGCCTGGTGCTAAGCTCTAGACCCACAGAGATCCGCCTAAACCTCCCAATAGCCCTGTAAGGGAATGGCTCTTATTGTCCCTGTTTCATAGATGAGGAAAGCTGAAGGCCAGAGACTGAGGCGGCAGAGTCAGAACTTGAACCCAGGTCTATCTGACTCAAAGCACGTATGTGAACTCACCCACCCCCACTTCAAATCTCAGGCCTTGGGGGATCTTCTAAATGAGTGCTGCCCCATCGAACTATCCATAATGATGTTCTCTTCTCCTCTGCCCGAGCCACATATGGTTATTGAGCACCCGAACTGTGGCCAGTGTAACTCAGGAGCTAAACTGTAAATTTCATTTAATTTTAATTAATTTAAATTTAAATAAGCACATGTGGCTATGGGCTGCCCTACTGGACAGCACAGATCTCTCTAGACCAGCAATACTTCCAACCTCATTACCCTCAAAGACCTCTCTTTATGACTATCCCACCAATGAGTCCCATGCTTTAAAAGATGTGTCTATTGAACAAATCGCAGAGATTAAGTAATAATAAGTGCATTTCCTCATTTTCATTCATCAAATACCTGTATAATAGCTTCTGCTCCACACGAACCCACTAGAATTTTACAAGATGGTATAATTCTAGCCAAAATCAAAGAAATGCTACCTTTCAGCCGGCCTGTGCCATGCTGGGTTGTGGGCAAATGTGTAATTTTTCTTGGGCTTTTGGTAATGTGGAAAAGAGCCCAGTGAAAGAGACCTTTTCTATCTTTACGGATCCCTACGGATCCTTTTCTGTCTTTACGGTTCCAGTTTGGCAATCACTGACAGAGTCCTCCCAAGGGTGCATGGGGAAGCCCAGAAGGGCCAGCGCCCTGCCTACGTCCACACTGCCAGTCTGTACGGCCCACTGGAGCTGGACTATCAGGGTCCCGGCCTGTCCCAGGGAGCCCGAGGGGAAAGGCAGAGGTTAAAGGCAAAGGCGGTCCTGGTCCTCATGGAGTTTCGAGTCCCTAGTGTGAAGGTGGCAGAGCCCACAGAAAGGCGGCCATCAGAATGCCATTGTGCAGCCCGGCGGACTTCTCCAGACTTTCTTCCCTCAGGCCCAACCCCATCCAGGAGGCTTTCCAGTCTCAGCCCCACACACAGTGCTAGTGGTGTGATCCCAGGCAAGTGACAGCCTTTCAGAGTCTCCAAATCCTCGGTGAGAAAATAAGAGCAGAAATTTCCTATCTCCTGCTAAGTCATCTGAGATAACCTTTGTGATAGAATGTGTGTCAAGCATGAAAGGGACAGACCGGGAGAGAGCAGGCGCCTCGGGCCACCTGTAGCTGGTGCAGTCATAATGGGGGGTCTGTTACGAAATTTCCTTAAGCCTGAGTTTCCTCACCTGTCAAACAGAACAGTGCCGTCCTGCAGGGCTGGGAGGGGGATCCCACTCAGCGTCGTCTGACAGGTGCTTGGCCCAGTGTCCGACACCCAGAAGGCGCGCGGGAAGTGCCAGTCTTCCTGCTTCCTCCGCTCCTTGTCTCCTGTGCCAGAGTCCCCTCCTCGAGGACAGGGACACTGGGACACAGGCTTCTGCTTGTCCTATCACCCTCCCCTGCACGTGGGCCACACGGCTGGCTGCAGTCCAGGCTTGCCGCTGACCCTGGGCTCTCTCCCCTCAGGGCCCAGATGGGCAGCAAGGACAAACCGGACCTCCAGGAGCCAGAGGGATGCCGGTGAGTACAGTGTCTCAGGACAGCAGGAAGCTATGGTGTCTTGCCTCCACACCCCTATCTACTCACCTCACTGTGTTTCTTCCCTGCAGGGTGAAAAGGGACCTCAGGGAGTGAAGGTGAGTCCCAAGGCCCTGTGGCCAATACTGGGGGGGAAATTAACCGCCCCAGGAGCCCCGCCCCCAGGGGAACCTATACATGCAGTGGTGGCTCTGGACTGGAGGACAGAAGCTGAGGAGTCATCCTGGTCTCCTTGCTACCGCCAGCCCCCTGGTTCCAGGAAGCAGGGGCCCCGAACACTTCTCACTTCACCTGGTTGCTGGCCCAGGGCACAACCAGGATCCCAGGCGACCCAGAGAGCCCCAAGGGCCCCATGGGGGCAGCTGCATTTGCAGATGGGCCTGAGTTAGAGGCTGGGGCAGGCGCTAAGTTGGAGAGGACCAGTGGTGAGAGGGCAGAGAGGTGGGGGACTGGGCCAGGCCAAGGGGAGTGGGACGGCAGCGGCCAAGCCTCGAGCGTCTGGGAGGCAGAACACCTGTGCGGCAGGAGACGCTGAACCCAAACCGACAGGAATAGCAGCAACATCCAGCCCTTGGGGGCATAAGGGCTTCCCATGTGGCAGGGACTCTGTGTACGTTCATCCAGTCGACCCTCCTGATGGTCTATGCATTTGGTGCTATTACCCTCATTTTACAGATGAGGACACTGAGACTCGGGGGTTGAACCGGTTGCCCAAGGGCACATTTGTAAGAGGCGGGTCCTGGATTTAAACCCTGGCCTCTCCATCCTACAGCCCTTGCTGCCTCCCAGATGTTGGCTTCCAGAAGGTCCTCCATCCTCGCCCCCCTCTGACAAGAGCTCTTGTCTTTTCAGGGTGAGCCAGGGGAGTGTTCCTGCCCCTCTCGAGGGGACCCCATCTTCTCTGGCATGCCGGTAAGTGGCTCTGAGAGCCCTCCCCCCAGCCGGGGGAGAGGCCTGGCTTCCTGCGTTGGCTCAAGATGCGCGGGCCCCCGCAGGACTTTGCGCCCCAGCCAGCTGCCTCCTCACGCAGCCCTGCGCTTGGTGTGGACGTTGCCTATAACCTCTCCCTTCTTTTGCGACCCCCACTCCCACCCAGGGTGCTCCGGGACTTTGGATGGGCAGCTCCTGGCAGCCGGGCCCTCAGGTGTGTGTCGCTTGTCTCCTCTGTCTCTCCACTTGTCCGCCAGCGCCCCATGGCTTGCCCACCCTAATGCTGCCGCCCCCAGCGGTGGGACAGAGCTTTCTTTGGGGTCTGATTACTTCTCCTCTCCCTCAGGGTCCCCCAGGTGTTCCCGGACCACCTGGCCCTCCTGGAATGCCCGGGCTACAGGTAAAGGGGGAGGAGAGAATGGGAGTCTGGGAGGCAGGGTGGCGGGCTGTGCCTCCACCCAACACCTATGCGTGCCGTCCTCACTCCTCTAGGTTCCTGCTCTCCAGAGCGACATGGCGGGGGGGGGGCGCCCATTGATCCCTTAGGGCAGGCCGTGGGCAGTCCCAGCCCTTTCTTGAGGAATGCCCTGCTGTGTGCCGGCCCAGGCACCCTACTGACACCCGGGCCAAGCTCAGGCTAAGGTCAGGCCTTGGTCAGGAACCCAGGATCTGGATCAGACAATCCCTTACACTGGCATGGCGCTGCCCTGTTTTGGAGCAGCGTGCAACATTCATTCATGCAAGGAGGAAGGAGGAAGATAAAGCAGGGCGTGGGGTCAGAAAGTGGGAGGAGGGCAAGGAAGATGTTCGAGAAGAGCGTTAGAAAGAATCCAGACTTAGAGGAAATGAGTGAGTAAGCCCACGAGGGAGAGCATTCCTGACAGTGAAAGCAGCAGGTGCAAAGCCCCGGGGGTGGGACTGTGCCCGACAGTTGGGGGGATAACAGGGAGGCCAGGGACAGTGAGGGGAGAGCCGTGGGGGTGGAGGTCCGTGTGGCCCTGTGCTGAGAGAGTGCATTCCGGAGCCCACCAGCCTGACTTTGCCCCCCGCTCTGCCAGGTGCTAGTGGTGTGGTGTGCGGCAAGTTACTTACCTTCTCTGTGTCTCAGTTCCTTCATCTGTTAAGTGGATATAATTATAGCACGGACCTCATGGGGCTTTTGTGAATTTTAAACAAGTTAATGCATGCGAAATGTGTAGAACCATGCCTGGCACATAGTAAATGCTTCGAAGGCATTAGCCATCATTAGGCCGGTGACTATGATTATTTTATTTTTA